TGAAGCTCTCTGCATCTTGGAGAGCTGTTGACTTGGGCAATTAACAAACTCAAAGGAGTCCTTTGTAAATGAAGGGTAGCTGCCAGGAACACAACAGTTTTGCCCCTGAACCATCCATTAACTCACACCTTAGGCTTTTAGCCTTTTTCCACTTTCCCTGCCTGAAAACACCTCCCAGAAGAGTTTTTCCACTTAGAAACATCCTTTCAGGACCCATGTTCTAAATATGAGACAGGCCCACAGCTCTCCTGGCACCTTCATAAATATGGACAGTTTAGATGTGCGTTATGAGAAAAATCAAAAGAAGGTCAGGAGGGCCTATGTGTTGCACACTGAATTTAAATCAAGAAGGACTGAGCTTGCAGCTCCTGGCCCTCAGGTAGCGGATACTGTGAAGAACTAGAGCAGTGATGGTGAACCTATGACACGTGGATCAGAGGTGACACGCGAACTCATTTTTTTGGCTGATTTTTCTTTGTTAAATGACATTTAAATATATAAAATAAATACCAAAAATATAAATCTTTGTTTTACTATGGTTGCAAATATCAAAAAATTTCTATATGTGACACGGCACCAGAGTTAAGTTGGGGTTTTTCAAAATGCTGACACACCAAGCTCAAAAGGTTCGCCATCACTGAACTAGAGTGAAAAAGCAGGTGATTCACTGGGCTGGGAAGCTCACAGACTAGCAAGGGGAGACAGACTTGGAAACGATCTACAAACATCTACACTGTGTACCTTACCCTGCAGGCCAGCTTATGGAAAACAAAGAACTGTTAGTCTTTTCTCTTAAAAGACTAAATCAAAACAACAAATCCAGGTCTGCAGTGAAATGTCAGACTATACATTATATATGCTATCACCTCATTTGCCTTACCCCTTCAACCTCCAGGTTAGTCAGTCTGCCATAAAGTACTTCAAGTACCAAATTTATCATCATAACTCTCCCTAGGATTTTGGCATTAACCAACAGGTACGGCCAGAGCAGCTATTCTAATCACTGCAAAATTTTTCTCCAAATTATCTTTAAGTCTCCATAAGTATTTGGGTAAAGCAGTTAGAATTCCACCTGCATATAATTACTGAAAATTTTAAATAACATACTCCAAGAATATCAAAATGTAGAGGGAAGATTGCAAACACCCACGAACACACCACCACATTAATGATACACATGAAACTTTCTGTAGGGCTTTCTCAAATCCCATTTCTTTCACTCCCTGCACTGATAAGTAAGCTATATTGTAAAAATGCTACCCGTAAATGTTTTTAGATTTTGACTATAGGTGTTTGTGTCCAGAAATAACAGTCTATCTTGCTTTGCATATGCTTAAATTTTACAATGAAAATACTATCATACTTCGAATGTGCTTTTAGCTCTGCTCAACGTTCTATTTTTGATAGTTACATTCACTGATACGTATACTCTAGAGCAGTGGTTCTCAACCTTGGCTGCACATTAGAATCACCTGGGAATCTTTTTAAAATCCTGATTTCTGGGCCTCATCCTCCGGAAATTCCGTTTCTTTGTTATGGGGTGGGGCCACAACATTAGTAACAAAGAAACAGAATTTCTGGAGGATGAGGCCCAGAAATCAGGATTTTAAAAAG